AATCCTGGTTGCTGTTCAATATATGTACAAAACCAGACTCAGTTGTTTCCCTTGTATGTTATTTTGCTGTAATCTCCAAAAGTCTTGATGGGATGGAATGAAAAGATAAACTTGTACAAAAATACTTCTGAATACTATGCACCTTTGTCAACCCCTAAGACTTCTCCACGTGAGGTTCTCAATGACTGTCATCACACAGATCCAAAAGCCATGCTAACTGACCTGTAACAATCATTACACACCATTTGAAATACAAAAAAATGTTTTAGTACATGTACAAATCTGCCTCTTACCTATAATGCCTCTGGTGGTAGTCTATATACAATTAAAGTTGCAAATGTCACAGGAGCTGCTGATATGAACTGATAAGAGGTGTCATGTATGAAAATTAATTGACAGATATTTCATCCAATGTAATCTCGGCTTCCATGAACATTCTGTACTATGAAACAAGTGAAGAATTCTCTGAAGCCTTGTGTCCTTTCTTTTTACAATGCACAATATGGAGGGAACCAAGTAGTGTGTTCAACAAACTCACAGTAAAAAATATACAAAGGTTCATTTTGTTTGCAGGAAAATGTAAGTTTTTGAGGTGTGTACATGTAGATAGGAGGAAAGGGGTCAATGTTGAAAAATGGGTCAACTAGGGGGTTAATTTTAGGATGGGTTCTTTTTAACCCTAGGGATATATGTTATGGTGGGTCTTTTTAACCCTAGGCCTATTGATATATATCTGTTAGGATCGGTCTTTTTAACCTTTGGCCTATATATGGATATACATGTATGTTATAATGGATCTTTTTAACCCTAGGGATATATGTTAGGATAGGTCTCTTTTACCCTAGGGATATATGTTATGATAGGTCGTTTTAACCCTAGGGATATATGCTATGATAGGTCTCTTTACCCCTAGGGATATATGTTAGCATAGGTCTCTTTTACCCTAGGGATATATTTTATGATCGGTCTCTTTACCCCTAGGGATATATGTTATGGTGGGGCTTTTTAACCCTAGGCCTATTGATATATATCTGTTAGGTTCGGTCTTTTTGACCTTTGGCCTATATATGGATATACATGTATGTTATAATGGATCTTTTTAAACCTAGGGATATATGTTATGATAGGTCTTTTTAACACTAGGGATATATGTTATGATAGGTCGTTTTAACCCTAGGGATATGTTATGATAGGTCTCTTTAACCCTAGGGCTTTATGTTAGGATAGGTCTCTTTTACCCTAGGGATATATGTTAGGATGGGTTTCTTTAACCCTAGGGATAAATGTTAGGATAGGTCTCTTTAACCCTAGGGATATATGTTAGGATAGGTTTCTTTAACCCTAGGGATATATATGAGGATAAGTCTCTTTAACCCTAGGGATATATGTTAGGATAGGTCTCTTTTACCCTAGGGATATATGTTATGATCGGTCTCTTTAACCCTAGGGATATATGTTATGATAGGTCTTTTTAACCCTAGGGATATATGTTAGGATAGGTCTCTTTAACCCTAGGGATATATGTTAGGATGTGTACTGTTACGATGGGTCCTTTTAACCCTAGGGATATATGTTAGGATAGGTCTCTTTTACCCTAGGGATATATATTAGGATCGGTCTCTTTAACCCTAGGGATATATGTTAGGATAGGTCTCTTTAACCCTAGGGATATATGTTAGGATAGGTCTCTTTAACCCTAGGGATATACATGTATGTTAGGATGGGTTCTTTTAACCCTAGGGCTAGGCATATGTTAGGATGTGTTCTTTTAACCCAAGGGCCAGGCATATCTGTTATGATGGGTCCTTTTAACCCTTGGGCTAGGCATATATGTTATGATGGGTCCTTTTAACCCTAGGGAACCCTAGGGATATATGTTAGGATGGGTCCTTTTAACCCTAGGGATATATGTTAGGATGTGTACTGTTACGATGGGTCCTTTTAACCCTAGGGAACCCTAGGGATATATGTTAGGATAGGTCTCTTTAACCCTAGGGATATATGTTAGGATGGGTCCTCTTAACCCTAGGGATATATGTTAGGATGTGTCTTTTTAACCCTAGGGATATACATGTACTCCAAATAGGTTATGATGTGGGTCTTTCATTTTGGCCTGGATTCTAAACAGGACACATCCAAAGTAATGAAATCACCAATAAGACATGTTTTTAGGTATGCAACAATGTCACACTCTTGTCCTACCGTACAGCTACTCAGATTTAAATAAGAACACCATCTAGTTTTAGCCTTCCATAGCAATACCACAACTAGATGTGCCTATGAGAGGTTGGTCAGAAGATCTCCATGTTCGACAGATTTCCATATTAAATGTTACACCTGCTTTTTAGAATCCAAAACGACTTTTATCATCTCTGTGATACCTTGTTACTTACCGGCTTTAAGCCTGGATACAGTTTGTAATGATTCAGAAGCTGACAAAAACTACAGACATCAAGTCACTTTGGAAACAATTCATTTGTACATGCAGCTTGATATTAGCTACTTAATGCTTATGTTACAAAGCTGACTTATACATGATGCATCAAATCCAATAAATGTGAAAAACATAAAATTATCATAAAAATCAACAGATTTAATGCCAATAGAAACTAAGGCATAAAACCATTAAGGCAAAAAAAAATATGATGCAAGCTCTGGTTGCAGAATGTGTGTAATAGCACAAAACGTCACAGTTATACATAATTAAGTGATGTCATCAAATCTCTACTATCACAATTGTACTAAAAATGAATGAGCTTGATTCTGGAGTAAATATATACATTAACATAACTATACTTTTGTTATGCACTAAACGCCCTATTATGTACCGGGTCTCGTAGATCAGTGCTTTACACTGGAACAGCACTGAAGCCAACATTGTCAACTAACATACCGGTAATTGTTCTAGTGAAGAAAGGACAATGATATATCATCCAAAATCTACTTATAATTAACTAATAGCAAGAACGTGCTGTTAATGAAAGTTTTACATAAATAAACATTTAAAATAATTCAATTAAATATTTCTGTACATGTATCATACTTTTATTTTTACATAATACTGAGACTTGAATTACCAAAATGAAAAGCCTAGTATCTCCCCAACAGATACATGAGGTACAGGTATCTAGAACAGGAGATAAAAAGTATCTGGAACAGGAGAAACAAGTATCTGGAGCTTGATATACAGGTACCTGAAACACCATAAAAAGGTATTTGGAACGAGATACATGTGTCTTGAACATGATACAGATATCTTAACCAAGAGATGCAGCTATAAGGGACTCAAGATACAAGTATCTGGAATACAAGATAATGTTTCTGGACCATGAGACACATATGTCTGGAATTTTAGATACAGGTATCTTGAACAAGAGATACAGTTATCTGGAACATCAAATACAAGTATCTGGAACATGAGGTACAAGTATCTGGAGTAAGAGATACATGTATCATAACACAGGTATCTAGAGTAGGAGATACAGGTATCATAACACAGGTATCTAGAGTAGG